AAAAAAAAAAAGTTAAAAACAAAAGCAAAAACATAAGGCTAAGCATAGACTTTTGGGTCATTCCACCTGAGAGCTCTGACCAAATTGACATTGAATCATTAATGACTACTCTTCAACCAATCATTCAACCAGTTCTAAATCCAAATACTTATATTATTGTTTAGTCCATATGTCTTCATCTAGTCTATAAGAATAATGTTTACTATAAATGATTACTAATTGATTAAGTGATTACTAATTGATAAGTGACTAGTGATTACAAATAGTGAACTGAATTCAAATGCCTCCTCAAATGCTATCTAGCTATGTGACTCTGGACAAGTCACTCCTACCTCAATTTCCCTATCTGTAAAATAAGAGAGTAGGACTAAATGGCCTCTTCAGTCCCTTCCTCCTCTAAATCTATATTTAGCAGATGCTTTTAAAACCTAGGTAAACCATATCAAAAGATTCTTCTCATCTGCCAATTTAGTAACTGTCAAAAAAAGGAAAGATGGCTAACAGAACTTGTCCTTGACGAAGCCACACTGGTTCTGTGTAATCACTGCTTCCTTTACTAGATGTTCACTGACCATTTCTTTATGATTCACTCTAGAATTATCCCACTTCTGACTCTAACCTCTGACACTTACAAACTGTGAGAACACAGGTCTCTTCACTTTTCTTAGATACAGTTTCATCATCTGTAAAATGGAGACAGTTTTACCTAGAGTACTCCTCATAGAAGTAGTGTCATGTGGATCAAATCAGAGTAACATGCAAAGTACTTTGTAATCTTAAAGCTCCATATCAAGGTCAGTTATTATTATCATTTTTTTAGGATTATTCAAATTTTCTTATTTGACAGTTGGAGAAATTATGCCTCTGTCCATAAATATGAGAAAGCTAGGATAAGAGTTAGACCCCGGGTCTCCTGACTCCCAGGCATGCCTTCTTTCCATGATGATATGCTGCAACTTGAACATTCATATTCATTCAATAATATTTAAAATTCTATGGGACAGTCCAAACACAATTCTAATGGCAATGAGATGCACCATGGTATAGTGGAGAGATGCTGAACATGGAATCAGGGAGAACTGAATGCAAATGCCTCCTCAAACACTCTCCAGCTATTTGACTCTGGACAAATCACTCCTGCCTCAGTTTCCTTGTCTGTAAAATGAAAGACTAGGACTTAATGACCTCTTCATTTCCTTTCTCCTCTAAGTCTATAAAACCAAGATTCAAAAATATTTCAACATGAACCTAAAAGGGATATATATATATATACAAAGTCCTACATTTAGACTAAAAAACCTAACTTCACAAGTACAGAATGAGGGAAATGTGGCTCGATTGCAGTCCAAGTGGAAAAGATTTGGATGTTTTAGTTGATTGCAGGTTTAAATATCTGCCAAGTAATCAATGTGCATGTATTAAATGGCTACTGTGTTCCAGGCACTGAGCTAGGTTCTGGGAATACAAAGACAAAAAAGAGAATAATCTAGGTTCTCAAAGAGCTTATGATGAGGAGACAGAGAGAAAATGAGAGTGAGAGAGAGAGCTGTGTATATATGTATATTGTATGTATGTGTGTATGTATATGTGTGTATCTAAGTATGTATGTGGATAATGTATATTATATTATACAAGGATAATGGAGTGGTTTGCTCTTTCCTTCTCCAGCTCTTTTTACAGATGAGGAAACTGAGGCAAAAGGGTTAAATGATTTACTTAGGGTCACACAGCTAGTAAGTCTCTGAGGCCAAATTTGAACTCACAATGATGAGTCTTCCTGACTCCAGGCCTGGAGCTCTATCCACTGCACCACCTAATTGCCCAAATTCAAACTTAGGCTACATTAACAGAGTGTATGCAAATCATGGGAAGAAATCGTCCAGTCACACTTTGCCCTGATCAATCTATATCCAGAATATGCTATTTAGCATTATCCGGTGCTTGCCTGTTGCCTCTGGTATAAAACACAGGCTCCTTTGATTGGAATTTAATAATAAGAGATAATCTATCTTCATTCTATTGTCATGGGGGTGGGGAGCTGGTCATAGACCAAATGATTTTCTTCTATCCCAGCCCAGTTGACATAATCACAGAAAAGCAAGGGAAGAAAGGAGTTGTTAATGTATTAAACGAAATGCAAAGACAGCAGCTTTCCATTGGCTGCCCAAAGATTGATCCTACCTGGATGGTCCTTAAAAAGCAAGCTTGCCAGCTCTGAGAAATATTTTGAGGCAGGAAGTAGCTTTATGGAGTAAAGTTCCTGGCCTTCTGCCAGATGGTAGCAGTGACAGGGAGCAGACTCTTCTCTCTCCCTTTTTATCTAGCATAGTATCTTACAGAGGAGCTATTTGACCAAGATGAGACAGAAAGTCAGGCAGACAAGCAGATATAGATGGTCAAGGAATGAAGACACCTCAAGGAGAATGACTCTGAACAGCACAGAAGAGCCAGCTATGGAGTCCAGGGAAAGCTGGCATTGGCAATTAGATGAGCTGCAGAAAGGAACAGGTCCAAGGAACCCTAGCTGAACTATGTACCCAAGCAGAGATACTGGAGTGAGGAGTAGGAAAGGGGGAGAAAATTAGCTACTGGGGAGGGATCAAGAAAGTGGCACTAAAACTGAGTGTTGAAGATTGATAACGATTCTAAGATAAAGAGAAGAGGAAGGACTTTTCAGATATGGGGCACAGCCAGGGCAAAGGGACAGAGACTGGAGATAAAATGTCACGTACGGGATAAACAGTAAATAAACTAGTTTGGTTGGAATGTAAAGTGTGTGAGGGGGAGTGCTGTGAAATAGGTCGGAAAAGGTAGATTAGAAACAATTTATGAAGGGCTTTGCAAGTAACAGTTATAAACAATCATCCTTAAATCCCCTTCAGATCCCTGATTCAGGTATTCGTGTTGATACTTTTTTTCTAGAGTTGTCATCTATGTGCATCCTTTTTTCTAGAGTTGTCTTCTATGTGCATCCTTTACTTCTCCTGCCTTTTTCCTGCTTTGGTATGATTTCCACTTTTCTATATAGTCCAAATATCTGTCATTCTTAAGCCATTACATTGAGATACTGAAATCTTTAACTTTTCACCTTCTTGAAAGTCCTATGTAGCTCAAGAGTCTATGAACTACTAGGCATTTACTTGTTTCCAGTTTTTTCCAAATACAAATAAATATTTATACAGGCAGGTCTTTTAAAATTATTTTTACTCCCTTGGAATGTATTCCTATAGGTTCAAAGGGTACAGTCACTTAATGACTCTTGTTACACATTTGCCAAATGTCTCTCTAGAAAGATCTAACCAGTTTTCAATGCTGCCAACAACACACATATGTTAGTTACACCTATTTGGCCACCACATCTTATTACAATTTTTATTTATTCTTAACAATTTGATAGGTACAAGGTGGTGCTTCAAAATTTACTTTCTTTTGTTTTTCTTTTGTTATTAATGAGGTGGGCTATTTTTTCAAATATTTCTTTACAATGTATCAGAAATAGCCCTCGGGATCTTTCCTTTTCCTTAGCAAGGTTGGGCCCTGGCCCCTGGGCCTGGCTTTTGTGACCCACCTCAACCCCCAATAATGTTTTCCCCCTAAGAAACCTAAGGCCCACCCAGCTTCCGGATCCCTAAGCCTCAACAGCAGCCAATTGAGGGGGAAGGTTTGAGGAGGTGGGGCACAAGACAGGACTATTAAGTGTGCAGTCTCTAGGGGACAGTTATCTGCTTCCAATGCCCCTGGATCCTTGAGAGGACTAGGAGACTTTGGGGCAGGAAGACAGAGGGAAAAAAAGACCTGTTGGTCCTAGATTCCTCCCTGCCATTTTCCAAAAGTCTTGGCTGAGGCTGCTATTCAAAAATCATTAAGTACTCACTATATGGTAAGCACTGTGCTAGTTTGGGGGGGAGGAGACAAACATAAAACAAAACAGAGTCCCTACTCCTAAAGAACTTATCTGGGGGAGGGGCAGGGGAGAAGCTTTGTGGAGTTTCCATTTCAAGAAAGGATGCTTTTAAGGAGACTTTACAAAAGCAATGTCCTTCATTAGACTATGCATCTTGATTTTTAGTTTGGAAAATAAAAACATATAAACACAAGACAGAAATAGCCTGGCATAGTGGATAGAGGACCTGCCTTGGAGTCTGTAAGTCAAATCCTTCTACTCCTGCCACTGGCCATATGATCCTGGTCAAGTCACTTAATCTCTTGATAGCCCAGGTACAATTCTCAGTCTATAAATTGCAGAGCAGTTACTGTTCTGCATCGGTAGAGGAAATTTCTTCACAGAGAGCTCTCTACCTCAATGAAATCACAGGTCCAGATCCACCCTCCTCCCCACACTTCCTGTTCACCCCACCCCTACAGACAATATATACAAATAAATGGAACATAAATTAAGACCGGCAAAATGGAAAGTGAACTGGATTGGAAAGAAGGTCTGGGCTAGAATTCCAGAACTACTACTTATATAACCTTGGCAAAGTCACTTTCCTCCTCGTCCTCAGTTCCCTAAGGTGGACTCTCAGACAGGCAGTCTCAGCTTCTAAAATACTCAACCCTACTGAAGTGCTTATAATACTCAATAAAACTCCAACCCTAAACTCCAAGAGATCATCAGAGCATTTCAATGAGAGACTACTATGGCTGGGGTACGGAGAGGATGGCAAGAAGGCTTCCTGGAGGAAACTAGACCTGAGCTGGACCTTGAAGGACTTGGGCCACTGGAATCCAACAGTACTAGTGCAAGGAGAGAGAGAGAAGGCATGGGCAGGAGACGCAATATCTTATCATTGCACGTTGCTTCTCTCCCTCTTCAGAGATTCCACCCACTCCCCAACCCCCATACCCAGCTAACTCTACCCCTGGAATAGAGAAGTATAGGTAGTCAAACAGGCTTAAAGAAGGATGTCGTTGTGGGCCTGTTTCTAATCTAAATCTTAATCCCACCTAGTGATCTCGGTCCCTCCTCTCATCCCTGCCTCCCTCTCTCTCTCTCCTAGCCCTTGGCCCCGGGGAGGGGCGGGGCAGGAAAGGGGTCAGGCCTCTGCCGGGTCCCCTTATCCCTCCCTCTCCTCCTCTTTCCAAATCAACCCGAGGCCGAAGGGGACTTTGGAGCTGGGTAAGAAGAGTAGTAGGGCGGAGAGGTGGGGTAATGCCGAGGGGCAGCCGTGGCTGGCTTTATAATCCGCCCAGTAACTGAAGAGGCGAGAGGCAGGAGCCCCAGTGCGCGCCCAAAGCAGCGCAGCGGCTCAGCGTCGCTGGGACCATGGTCTCCGCCCTGGGCAGTCCCGGGCCGCTCGTGCGGCAGCTCATCCTGCTGCTGCTGCCGACCGGTCTGCTTCTGCAGCCCTCCCAGGCCCTGCCCACCGAGCTGCTGCCCGGGGACTTTGCAACAGACGAGGCAGGGGCGAGACTCTTCGCCCAGAGCTACAACTCCACAGCTGAGATCGTCCGGTACCGGAGCGCCGCAGCCAGCTGGGCTTACGAGGTCAATATCACCCAAGAGAACGCGCAGCGGCAGGTGAGGATTGCTTGGAGCAGGCAGTGGAGGAGGGTGGGGAGGTTTTTTCGGGGGGCCACAGTGCGGCGCTGGGAGGAGGTTCACAACAGCCAATCGCTGGCCCGCACGCTGCGCTTGTGTGGGCCGGTGATCCCTGTCTTAGGAGAATAGCCCAGGTTGCGTCTGATCCGTGACACTCTCGGCCACTCGTGAGCTCCAGGCTATATCTCCTCTGGGCAATTCCCAGCTGCGAGCATGGACGGCTGTCTTTGGGTTGCGACCACTAGCCGGCCAGCTCACTCCTCCCAAAAGTGGAACCCTTCCCTCAGCTCCTTGACCCGGAGTTAGCGGCCTCCAGCAGATACAAGCAGACATCGATAGCGAGTCGGGGGGTGGGAAACCTCAAGGTAGTGCCCAGGCATCCCGAGAGAGAACAGGACAACGTGCACTACTAGCCCTCCCCCAGTGGAGTTGCCCAGTTTTTCCCCCGAGAGAAAGGCCCTGGGGGTCTTCCCACTGACAGTCTGTCATTCTCTCTCTCTCTCTCTCTCTCTCTCTCTCTCTCTCTCTCTCTCTCTCTCTCTCTCTCTCTCTCTCTCTCTCTCTCTCTCTCTCTCTCTCTCTCTCTCTCTCTCTCTTTCTCTCCCTCTCTCCCTCCCTCCTGCTCACTCTCTTCTCTCTTCTCTCTTTTCCTCTCTCCTGTGTAGTGGATAGAAGTGGATAGAGTGTTGAGTTTGGTGTCAAAAAGACCTAGTTAGGAATGTTCTCCATGTCTCTGTTGTCAGTTTTAGAGCACAAACTTCCCAAGGATATTGAGCAAATCTTTTAACTTGTTGAGTCTCAGTTTCCTTATCTGCAAAATGAGAGTGTTGGATTAGATGGCCTCCAGGATCCCTTCTAGCTCTAAATCTATGATCCTTGACCCCACCCTTCTTGGACCAGAGGATTTGGTGTCCTTTCTACTCAAATCTAGAAGCCCTGGAGTGTCTTAATCCATTTTTTCTCCTAGAGTAATAGATCAAGAAAATTTGTCTCTACCAGGTAGAAGGTCCTCATTGAAAATACCCTGTCTCCCACCCTTTCCCCAGCTCTCAGTCCTCAATTGTGATTTTAGGTATTTTTTAACTAGGTTGACCACCAATGGCTTATTTCTCTATAAACTTCAACCACTCCCCACTATCCAACCCTCTACCTCAATCCTCCACCCTGACCCTCCCATCCACTACAGGAGGAAGCAGACCTGCTGTCTCAGGAGTTTGATGAAGCATGGGGCATGAAGGCCAAGCTGTTGTATGACCGCATCTGGGAGAACTTCACTGACCCCATGCTTCACAGGATCATCGGTTCTGTGCGGATTCTGGGTCTAGCCAATCTGCCCATAGAACAGCGTCAGAAGGTGAGTATAGATAGAGTGTAAAGATGGAGGGGAAAAGAGGGGGCCTTATGGGTCTGTATGTACCTTCTTCTGATGGGAGGGGGAGGAGAGTACTAGTCTGACTTATCACCTCCCTTCCCCCATCCTTGCCAGTACAATACCTTGCTGAGCAAAATGACCAGCATATATTCTTCAGCCAAGGTCTGCTTTCCCAACAAGACTGCCACCTGCTGGGCCCTGGAACCAGGTACCTGTTCCCCTCTGAGGACCCCTCCCCCCAGCTCTAGTCTTGGTAGAGCCAACAGGAAGACTTAATTCCCATGGGGCTACTTTCTCTGTGTGAGAACGGAGGGGTAATGGGTAGCGTGTGTGCCCCTGAAGGGTGGAGACAGACAAGAGCAGGACATCTCCATTGCCCCTGTGGGGTTACGGGCTAGGGGAGGTATTGGCACGGCTAGTAACTAGTTCACTCCTTCTCCACTCATCTCAGGCAGACTAATTCATCCTCCCACCACTTTGTATGTCCTCTCCCCTCTTTCCTGCTCTTTCCCAGGGCCATCATAGTGGATGCATCTTTGTTTTCACTCTCCAAGCTCTCTAGGCCCCTCAAAACCCCCTCATTTGAATAATTCCTATAGATTTGTCTCCTTGATTTACTCAGTCATCTGATTCTGATTAACCCTTTCCTTCTACTGCTTTCCACCTCCATAGTTATTCATCCCACCTGTGTCCTACATGCTATATATTTGCAATCTTGTTTCTGAATTAATAACAATAAATCATTTTTAGCAAACCTTGCAGATTACACAGCACTTTCTTCACAACAGTCCAATGTAGGGAATGCAAATAAAATCCTCCCTGTTCTCCCCACTTTCTTTTGGTCTTGACCTGTGATTTCATCAGTGTAGAGGAGACTCCCTAAGAAGAAACTTTTGCCAATGCAGATTGTCAATTTAGGGTCTTGGAGTTGCCTGCTGAGAGGTAAATTGATTTATCAAAACTTGCACAGATAGTATGTATCAGAGGCATGATTTGAACCCAGGTTTTCTTGACTCTGAAGCTACTCTTGACTCTATCTACCAAGCCATGGAGCCTGTCATCCCCACCTTGCAGTTGAGGAAACTGAGGGTCAAAGAGGTAAAGCCTTGCCAGGATCACATACCAAGTGTTGGAGGGGTTCTGACAGGTTTCAAGTCTGTTTCATGCAGTGTGTATGTATGTATATGTCTATCTGCCTTTCTGTATGTTCTCTACATCTAAGTTCCCCCAAGGGTAGGGATCAAGTCTTTGTAGCCTGATTTGGATAGCACCAGTAGAGCACAACTTGTAGTTGGAAATTTTGACTATGATAGTGGCAGTAGTGAATGCCTCTGGGGGCTAGAAGAGGTGTCAGCCCCATCACCCTAATTGGGGCTGATAAGGTACCATGAGCACTTGTATTGGAGATCCTGTATCACCCCATTTGTCTGTGTTTCAGAGCTTACAGAAGTCATGGCCTCATCGAGAAGCTACGCTAAGCTGCTATTTGCCTGGGAGGGCTGGCACAATGCTGTAGGGGTTCCTCTGAAACCTGAGTATCAAGCTTATGTCAGTCTCAGCAATGAAGCCTATAAGGTGGATGGTGAGTATGTCCCTTCCATCTTTTCCAAGGTCCCCCTCTCCTGTCCTTCCTCTTCGTTTAGTCTTGTCTTCAACCCTTGAAGGAAGCCCTTAACCTCCTTTGTGGAGTTATTTCTTGTCTCCTCACCATCATCACCCAACCTTCTGCCACTAGGATCAATGCTTCTCTCTTGGCATATCACTGAGGTGACTGGGCACTTTAGAGAATGGACAGAGACAAAGATACTTAAGATATTCTTTGCCTCATGAGATTTACAATATTGATAGGGATATACCATTTACATGCAAAACAGGTAATATGAGATAATACATATTCTGATGGTGAAATGAAAATTCTGAAATGCTGTGATTTCTAGAGAAGAAATCACTCAACTCCCTGTCCAAGTTAAAATGTTTTTTTCCTTTGTAACTAGCAGAGTTTGGGTGAAGAAAGCTTTCCGTCCTCTCAGCCATAAAGAGGAGGAGCTGATCCTCCCAGATCATGCTTATCTCATCCCACTGAACCAGCTCAGGGATATAACCTCCCCTTTGGTCACCACGCGCCTTCCTCTCCTTTTCATCAGAAACTGGAGGTAATCTAAGGCAGAGGAGTCAAACACAGGTCCCTGCTCCTGATTAAAATGTAATTGGGAAATATTTAATAAAATAAAAAATACAACAAAACATAGCTAATATTACATTTTTTAAAAACTAAGTCAATATGCAGCTGCAGGGATCCTTATGTATGGATCAACGACTTCAGATTCTATTGGAGTTCAGACACTCATATTTTAAAGCACCCATATTTTAAATGACTTGACCTGCCAACAAACAAAGAAATCATGGTTTTAGCCCAAGATCCTTTCCAGTCCTAAAATGCTATGATCCTGTCTCTATACTCTTATCTTTTTCCATAGGGATCTCTTCCCCTGCTTTTTTAGGAAGCTTATAAAATAGAAGTTATTAATAAAGCCATAATTATCAGATCCTCTCATACTACATAGTCCATAGTCAAAATTACTTGTAACTTTGTCAAAGAAACTTGTAATGTTTGACCAAAGATGTAGGTCTTTTTATTCTGTGTATTCAAGCTAGCCACTGGCATCCTTCTCATTTGCACTCAGAATATACAATTGCATCCATAACAGAAATCAGAAGCAAATAAAACCAATCCCATCCTCATCAAGAGGAAGTCTGCTTTAAAGTATTATTTAAATCAGCAAATAACTTTAAAAGAACAGATTTAAGTATCTGTCCTTTAACATGGAAAAGTGAGAAGGAAAAAAGGAAAAGGTAAATCACCACAACTTGGATTTACTAATAATTAGGTGAGTCCCACTCTCTGGTCACTTCTGTTCTGTCTGCCCCTGATAGATGAAGACACTGGCCACTCTGGCTTAACGTTCTTTTCCTACACCTCTGCCATTAGGAGTCTGTATGTCATTGTCTACCTCAAATGAGACAATGAGATAGTATCTGCAAAGCACTTAGCACACAGTGCCCAGAACATAGCAGGCACTATATAAAGCATGTTCCCTTCCCCCTTTTCTCCCTTTTCCCTCCCTACTGTCCTGCATGGAAGCCAAAAATTCTGCCCTCCAGCTCCGTCAGTAACAGATTCCCAGACTCTTCCAGGGTAGGAGTAGAATGCTGTTTCCTGCCTGACCTACAGATCCCAATATCACCAGATACCTTCCCTTCCACCTGCAGAAGATTTGGCTCCTCTCATAGACACTGTTACACCTGGTTCAGTCAGATACTGATTAGATTCCATCTCGTCATGCTTCTAGCCTTGAGCCAGATTCTTTCTATCTGCTCCTTCCACTCTCATCTTGAGCCCTAGGAAGTGAATTTGTCATATGTGACACAGTCATAAGATCTATGCTTCCCTTCCTTTGAATCTTCTAATGGGGATTGTTCATGTATCACCTGGGAATGGGAGTAGAGAGGCAGGAAGACCCTTGGACTGGAGGCATTTCCTTGGCAGGCTTTGAGGACACAGGGGCATACTGGCGTTCTTGGTATGACTCATCAACATTCGTGGAAGACCTAGAGCGACTGTACCAACAGCTAGAGCCTCTGTACCTGAATCTCCATGCCTTTGTGCGCCGTGGCTTGTACCACCGCTATGGGGACAAATACATCAATCTCCAGGGTCCCATCCCTGCTCATCTCCTGGGTAAGGACCAACTGCCTTCCCATCTTCCACATGGAGTGTGGCTAGAGAAGGTCTGGGTGGGAGAGGGGGAATAGAATGACATAGACAGGATATCAGGGGTAGGGAAAGCAGTTATGGTGGGTATCCTGTAGACCTTGGCCTTCTGATAGTGTCCTAAGGGTATCAAGGGAAGGACCCTGCCCTGTTCAGAAAGAAAATTAGCATTTTCCACCTGAACCTGTGTTCAGCCTCCTGCTAGGCCTGAGAATCCTAGGATATTCAGAGGAACGTGAGATTAGTCCCTGGATTCTCTGAGTTCTCTTCCTTTCTCCATTCCCAACATGCCAGATTGGAACCATTCCTCTACTATGCCCCTAACTCAGACAGCCATGATACTTGCTAGTTACAGGTAATGTTGCCTGCCATTGATAATGTGGATACTGGGTGTAAGATTTTAGATCTTATCTGCTTGCTTCTGCAGGAAACATGTGGGCACAGAGTTGGGAAAACATCTATGACATAGTGGTTCCCTTCCCGGACAAGCCTAACCTAGATGTTACCAGCACCATGGTGGAGAAGGTAGGCATATTTCTGTTTAGAGCCATTTTTTTAAAAAGGTATTTGGAGGGGTTTGGGGCGGAGCTCAAGCAAGTCACTGCTTTTACTCCTCCATCGGTAGGCATACTTCTGACAGACGGAAGATGACTGTCCTCTGGCCAATTTGGTTTGGTTCTTCCCAAACTGAATGATCTGAAATGCCTGGAACAGTACCTCCATTGAAAGCTCTATGGTCGTGGTGGGCAGCAGGGATGGGGAGAGAAGGGCAAGGGTAAATTCAGACATGGGCAGAAGGGCAGGCCTGGGGATGAGGGATGAGGACAGAGAAAGGGAGTTAATGAAGAACCAAGAAAAGAAAACAAGTAAGGGATGTGAGGTCCTTCCTTAACTGGAGACCTAGGGAACAAATGTCTTCTTAGTATAATGTAGGCAAGATTCTGCTCTTGGTAAACACTGAGACTAGTAGGCTAGTGGCCTTCTGCCCTCAGCGAGCATGCCACCCCCACCTTCTTCTCCATTCCCCAACTTGAGAGTGAAAGAAAGCCCTTGCTATTAGTGAACTCTACCCCCTCTTGTCTATTTCTTTGCCAGTAAATAATTCAGTCCTTTGACCGGGGAGACTGTAGATGCAGACCACAGAACTAAGCCTTGCCATGTCCTCTGCTTCAGTCTAGGATACTGGGCACTCCCTAGGCTCTCTTGGCTGGAAGAGACTCAGCTTTGTTATGAGGGGAATCATAAAGTGAGATTAGAGAAAAGGATGGTGAGAGACCAGATTCTCTTTCTACCCTGGGAATTGCTAGTGAGGGATACTGCAGTTGACCCCTGCCCCCTCTTGCTCTTTCCCCACCATCAACCCCAGGGCTGGAATGTCACACACATGTTCCGGGTCGCAGAGGAATTTTTCACTTCCCTGGGGCTGCTGCCTATGCCTCCGGAGTTCTGGGCTGAGTCCATGCTGGAGAAGCCAGATGATGGGCGAGAGGTGGTATGCCACGCCTCTGCCTGGGATTTCTACAACAGGATAGATTTCAGGTGCACTTTCTCCTACAGGGTATGGGGATTCTTTGGCATTTGGGAGGAATAAGAAGATCTACCAGACAGATACATTAGCCACCCCCTACCTACTGAGGTTACCATTAGCCAGGGTGGTGGGTATATTCAGGGGGTCCCTGAAAGTCCTAACATATTCCTGGGAACATGACAGAAAGGGCTGGAACCCACTGGTTCATGCAGCTCTTACTACTTCCCACTTGAGGAATAAAGCAGGAATTTTGAACTTTTTATGTCAAAGACCTGGTGTCATAATTTGCTGAAGTCAATGGATCACCCTTTCTCAGAATAATATTTTTAAATGCATAAAATAAAATACATAAGGCTATAAAGGAAACCAATTATATTGAAATAGAGTTATTATAATATATGTATATATATATATATATATATTTATTTTAATTCATGAGTTTCCTAAAATCTATCCACGGATTCTTTGAAGGTCTATGCATGCCAGGTTAAGAACTCCTGGGCTAGAGGAACATTGCATTTCATTCTCCTCTCCTTGGTAGCTTGTATGGTCCTCCCTTCTCAGTTTTGTTGGCGAGTTCCGTCCTGACTAGGCTGCTCTCTGCTTAGCCCACCCCACCTTGTCTCCCTTCCCCTGCCCCAGGATCAAGCAGTGCACGAGAGTGAACATGGACCAGCTCTTCACTGTACATCACGAGATGGGCCACGTGCAATATTACCTTCAGTACAAACACCTGCCTGTTTCCCTGCGAAGGGGTGCCAATCCTGGCTTCCATGAGGCCATTGGGGATGTGCTAGCCCTATCCGTCTCCACACCTGGTCATCTACAGAAAATTGGCCTGCTGGACAGTGTTACTAATGACAATGGTATGGGGTGAGAGGGATGACCAGAGATCTCCACTCCCCCTTCATCCATAATTCTTCCTGCCCTCTCTACCTACCCTGTACCCCAGCCCCCTTTATTCTCATGCTATTACTAGCTTCAGAGACCCTGGTAGAAAAAGTAAATCTCAGAGAGAGCTGGGCATGAGAATGGGAAGAGGGAAGGGCAATGGTCATCATATAGTACAGCCCAAGGTGGGGCTAGGATTGGAGGGAGTATCCTAAATGGGGTACAGGAGAAAAGAACACTAAATTTGGAATCTGAAGACCATCTCTGCCACTTACGACCTGTGTGACTTTGAGCAAATCACCTAATCTCTCTGGTCCTTTCTTTTGTCACTTATAAAATGTAACAATTAGATTAGAAGGTCCCTGACATCCTTCCCTTCTAGTTGTAAATGCTATGATCCTTTCTCTACATTATTCTCCTAGGTCTTGAACCCAAATTCATTCTCCTTCTTCTTCTCCTGAACCTCTTCTTAACTCTTCCCTCTCCTGAGGCCAACTGTCCAGGATAAATCCTGTCCTTTTCTTCCTTCTCACCCTCACTTGTCCTACAACTGTCTTTCAGAAAGTGACATCAACTACCTATTAAAGATGGCACTAGATAAGATCGCCTTCTTGCCCTTTGGCTACCTGGTGGACCAGTGGCGTTGGAGGGTCTTCAGTGGGCTTACAACTCCATCTCAATACAACTATGACTGGTGGTACCTTCGGTAAGCAAACACCTAGGGAAAGTGAATCCTCTGTTTTTGTTTGCTTCCTCCCTGGCAAAGACACTCTGGGTAGCCAAGAAACCACCAATTTGCCCCATTTGCTGCCCTTCCAGTGTTACCTCCCACCATGCCTCTTCCTTCTAGCCCTCTCTCCACCAGAAAACCTTTCATTTTTCAGTGCCATTGGCATAGTATATTAACTACTGGATGTGAAATCACCCAGGCCTAGATTCAAATTCCTCTTCCCAGCTGTGGGAACCTGGGCAAATAAATCACTGACCCTCTCTGAGTCTCAGTTTCTTCATCTGTAAAATGGAAATGATAATTTCTGCAGTGCCTGACTTAAAAGAGTAGTTGTGTGTTTCAAAGAAAATAACCTATGGGAGCAGCTAGGTGGCGCAGCGGATAGAGCACTGGCCCTGGGGTCAGGAGGACCTGAGTTCAAAAGAAAGAAAAAGAAAATAACCTATGGAAAGCACTGGGCAGTCTTTAAAGGGTTCTACACGCTGTCTCAAAACTCTTAGTGCTGTATTAAGCCACTTAAGCTTAAGGCTTTAAAGGTGAATGCTATTAAAGCTTAAAGCTGCACTATGACTTCGGGTACATGCTGTATAAAAATCAATTGTTCTTGACTGACCACCATCCTCTATGATAGTACCTTTTCCATCTCTAAATCTCAAGATTTAGGTTTACAAAACTCTTTCTTCACAATAACACTGTGAGGTGGGTAGCTAATCTGTATCCCCATTTTACAGATGAAGAAACTATAGCTCAGAGAGTTCAAATGACTGGCCCTTGGCCACATAGTAAAGTGTTAGAACTGGGATTCCAATTCAAGTGTCACCTGATTTCAGACATAGGGCTGTTTCTGTTATTACCACACTATCTCAGCCACCTCGTCTTTTCTCTACAAAAGCCAAACTAATAATAATAATAATAATAATAAATAGCAGCAAAGCATTTATCACATAGTGCTTCAAGGTTTGCCAAGTGCTTCACAAATATCTCATTGGATCTTCATAACATCCCTGGGAGGGAAATGCTATTATTATCCTGATTTTATAGTTGAGGAAACTTAGGCAGGCAAAAATGAAGTCTCTTGTTCAGGGTCACACAACTAGTAAGTATTTGAGGTCATATTTGAAATCAGGTCTTCCTGGATCCAAGACCAGTGCTCTGTGCACCAAACTGTGTACCACCAAACTGCCTTATACTAATCAGACTGCCTATATCTAGACCTATGCCTAAACTCCTATGCTCTTGGGTAATGAGTCCCTCTTTTTTCTTTTAGGACCAAATACCAGGGCATCTGCCCTCCCATTGCCCGGAATGGAGCCCATTTCGACCCTGGGGCAAAGTTTCATATCCCGTCTGTAACACCATACATCAGGTATAGCTATCTTGCTCACCCCTTCTATCCCTACTCTATTTTCCAGGCAACTGAGTCCCCAATGAACCCACCTCAGGACTAAGATGTGGTAGATTACAAAGTCTAGGGACTGGCCCCAGAGTTATGGGAAGAAGGAGGGATGCTGAGATCCATGTCCTTCCTCTATTCTCCTGGGTTCGCCCTGAACCCTACCATCTTAGCCTGTGACAGACAGGAAGTGGAAGCAGAGCCTGGACAACTCCAATAATGCCAAGAAATGTGCCCACAGGTATTTTGTGAGTTTTGTCCTTCAGTTCCAGTTCCACAAAGCCTTATGTGCTGAGGCGGGCTATACCGAGCCCCTGCACTATTGTGACATCTATCAATCTCAACAGGCTGGTGCCAAACTCAGGTAAGCTTTGAAGGGGGGAAAAGTCATGGAAGGGAAGAGGGAGGATAAAGTAGATAGCATACTCTATACAAGTGGAAAGAGGAATGGCAGATTATGCCATATATGTGGGGAGCCAACCTCTCTTCCCTGTAGTCTACCATTAGAGCTGTAAGGAGACTGACATAACCAGTGTAAGGGGAAAAGAATAAGCATTTATATAGTGCTTATTTGGTGCCGGGCACTGTGCTGAGCCTATTACAAATGCTGTCTTATTTGGATTCTCATAACAACCCTATGAGGTAGGGCTATTATTATCTCCATTTTACAGTTGAGGAAACTGAGGAAAACAGAACTTGTGACTTGCCCAGGGTTACATAGCTAGTGTCAGATTTGAACTTGGTTCTTCCTGACTCCAGGCCCAGGACTCTATCCCCTACACTTCTTAGCTGTGCAGCTGTTATTGGCTGTGGCAGGTTAACTTGCCATTCCCAATTTTCTTCATCCCTTAAATTAAAGAACCCATGGATTTCCATGGTTCTCCTGGTCTGATTTACACAGGAGCAGCCAGAAATGTAGAGAACCCCAATTTGAGAGACAAGGCAGATAGACTCTGTCAGATATCTCTCCTGATCCCCCTGTGCCTACTGCAGGGAGGTGCTGCAGGCAGGTGCTTCTCGGCGTTGGCAGGAGGTGCTTAAGGAGATGACAGGCTCAGAGACCCTGGATGCAGGACCGCTTCTTGAATACTTCGAACCCCTCACTGATTGGCTGAAGCAACAGAACCAGATCAATGGCGAGGTCCTGGGCTGGCCTGATTTTGAGTGGCGTCCACCAGTGCCAGATGGCTATCCAGAGGGCATTGGTAATATCTGCAGGAGAAAACAGAGCCAGATCCCACATTCCTGGTGCTAGAGCTCACTTCATTTCTGTGTTAGCTTTATGTCACTCCTGTAATTAGAGAGTCAGAAGGTAGGTGAGGTCTCCCATCTCACACACTTCAGACAACTCTGTGAGCCCATCAGAAGTGACTCTGGGATTGGAAGATGCCTCACCAGCCTCTTATACCTTGGAACTACTTCATAAGTTCAAAAATCCTTTCAGATTCCAAGCTGATCCATAGGTTCTGAGTTCTTAATGCCTAACCTCTGTGAGGTTGAACTATGAGCTATGTTTTGATTGGCTGGGATGTTGGGTTCCTTGGCTCTGGTGATCATGGGTCAAGGTTGGGTGCTTCAGGAAATGCTCCCATTCCTTTATTGTGGGCAGATCTTATGGCTTCTCAGTTTGGGAAAAACTCAGAGCCAGGGCGGAGGTCAGGCTTAGAGAAAAGGGAAGGGAGAAGGGAGGGAAATCAATCAGTCTATCAAATGAGCATTTATTGTTTGTTATGCATGCCAGGCACCCATGCTAAGCACTACGGTTTCAAAGACAAAGAGGAAAGGAAATGGGAAGAAACAAGATGAGAAAAGGGTGGGGAAAGGAATGAGAAGATAGGGAGAGGCGAAGAGTCTGGGTTGGAGAAGAAAGAAGAAGGCTGCCTTGAACCAGGTTTATGTCTTTCCCCTTCCTCCCTTCAACAGACAACCTGACTGATGAAGCAGAGGCTGAGAAGTTTCTTGAGGAGTATGACCGGTTGGGGCTCGTCATAACGAATGCATATGTAGAGGCCAACTGGGCTTACAACACAAACATCACTGAAGAAAATAGCAAGATTATGGTATAGTCCCCCACAGGTTCCTCTCCTACTAGCCCCATCTCTGGAGCTGCCTCCATTCTTGAATTTGTCTAAGAAAAAGCTTCATTCTATCTCTCGTGGTCCCTCTTCTCCCCCTTTCTTTTCTGTCTTTGGTCCCACCCTTAATGCCTAAGAACAGGAAGGGAAACTGCTTAGTCTGGTGGGAGAGAGAGGTATAGTAGTTGAGGCCCTCATCCTTATCCCACCTTCATAATAAGGATAGATAGAGCTATAGTAAAGCATTACTAATTCAAAGTAAAGAGGATCAGTAAAGGAAGAATAGCCAGAATTCACAAAAATTTTAAATTACAGAATTTTTTTTTTAAATCAAATGCAGTTTTGTTCAAGTCAGGGTGAGTTATTTTCCTCCCTTAATGGGTAGCACTTAAGTCTTTAGGGATGCCTCATCAAACCCTCCCAAGCCACAAAGGCTTCTGGCGTTAGTCTAGCAGCAGACAATGCTAGCTATCCAGGGGTGTGCTGGCAAATGCTTAACAATCAATTCTCCAAAAGAGTGAAAGGGAAAAGAAAAAAAAACCCATTCTTGCAACACATTTTTTAGATTAATCTATATTATTAATATTTTCTCTATCATTTTAAGTCCAGATAATCAAAAATAAATAAATAAGTCAAGCCCTAATTGACAGCATTTGCGAATTTCCAAAGTACAAATGCTCACACTGAAAATTTAACAATTGGGTAACTAGAGTTAACTGGCTCCAGCACACTCCTGTTGCCATCCAAGGACCAGCTGTTGTAAGTTCTGAGAAACTTATCTCCTAGAGGGTTAGTCACCAGATGGTGAATCATTTTGGCCATACCGACTCATGAAAACTAGAGTGAGACAGACATAGAACATTTGTGATCTATTTTCAGGGGTAGGGATGGGGAGAGGAAGTGGAGAAGGATCTTTACCAATAATATATGAATCCTGATAATGTTGAAAGAAGTAGGATAATGATGGGGACTAGCTCACAATAGTATGGCAAGCTCCCAGGTAGGGAAACTCTACTAGGGCAGAGGTGTCAAGCGTGCAGCCCACAATATTCTTGAGTTCTGCCCAAGCCTGATCAATGTGTCATTGGGAAATATTTAATAAAATAAAAAACAACAAAATATAGATATTATATTTTAAACCCAAATCAATATGCAGTCCCCAGGGATCCTTATGTATGTATTAATGACCTTAATTTCTATTTGAGTTTAACACCATAGGCCTACAATGCGGAGAGATGATTTGGTCAAGGTCACAAAGGCAATGCATGTCAAGGGCAGGGCTTGAACCTAGATCTTACTGTCTCACACTAACTATCTTTAGGTTAAAAAAAATCCTTTGCAATTAATACACGAATTACTTTCATGTTGCTAAACTTACAAGTGCTATATAAATGCTGATGGTTATTATTTGTGTGAAAATGATGCTACCAAACTCAATTTAAAGTTTTATTCAAGCAAATTTAAAATCTATAGAAATGATTTGTTTGCCAATACTCTGAAGCAAGTTAAATTTTCTGATCTTGACCTTCCTTGTGTCTATTTTCCTAACCTAGATCATGTAGAGTTAGATTTTAGTCCAGCACGCCAAATGCTAATTACACTTCTAAAGTTGGGCTTCCCAATTCTGTCTCTGTCAACACTTAATTTTCTTAAGAGTTAGCATGGCATTTGCCCAGTAAAGACATGTGTGCCACACCCTAGAGGCTCCCTGTGTGCTCTTGGGCAAGTCATTTCTCTCTTGGTTTCACATACTTCCTCTAGGTTCTAGTCCAATTTCAAATGCAAAACTGTTTGATGATTCCCAAGATCCTGAACATCCGTCCTTTAGTGATTGGTAGCAAATTGGACTAGTCCTTCCTTCCAGCTCTGCCACAAATGATTTTTGTATTGTTACCTAAAATTCCAAGTTCTTTATTTTTATTTTTTTTTTTGGCTAGGCAATGGGGTTAAGTGACTTGCCCAGAGTCACACAACTAGTAAGTGTTATGTGTCTGAGGCTGGATCTGAACTGAGGTCCTCCTGAATACAGGGCCGGTGCTCTATCCACTGTGCCACCTAGCTGCCCCTCCAAGTTCTTTATAAAACTGGGGCAGGTGGTAAGGCCCTGTGGACGAAGATTTGGCTTCAAAGTGAGAAGGAATCCAGGATCAAGCCTTGCCTCTGATACACGCTGACTATGTGATCCTGGGCAAGAAATTTAACTTCCTGGTACTCTAAGATTATAAATTGCAGAGAATGTGGTGACTTACATGGCAGAGGGGAGTTTCCTCACCTGAGAGTTCCCTATGTCAGTGAAATCACAAGTGCAGTCCTTATTCATGTGAATCAAATTTAAAGCTAGAAGAAACCTTAGAGGTCACCTAGGCCAACCCCCTCATTTTTATAGATAAAGACACTAAATTCCATAGAGGTTCCAAGGTCACAAAGGTAGTGAGCAGCAGAATTAAGATTCATACCTAAGTCCGCAGACTCCCCATCCAGTGTCTTCTCCACTGTACCATAAGCTTTGAACAAATGAAGGTAGCAAATTTGCCAATATGTTCCTTCAGGGGCTGACCCTAAGCCTCCACACTCAGGTTCCATCTATAGGTCTTGAGAAGAGAGATGGCCTGTGTATTGGAACGAGCAGTTTGGGGATCTGTGTATGGAGAGTACAGTTCCCTGCCCTAGGGTCTACTTTCAGAGCTATAACTAGAGTAGTACAACCAATGCAGCTGGATGAAGCGCCTTTGGTTTGCTATCCCTGATTTCCTGCTTCCCCAAGAGAGCCCTATCCTAATCCAAAGGTTGGGACCAGAGGTGGGAATGAATTGTAGGACCTAAGACTTCTTTGCCTTTTGTGGATTGGGTCATTGGGATAGCCTTGCCCTTATGATTCTGCCCTCTTAGTTGGAAAAGAACCTGGAATTGTCTTCTCACACACTACAATATGGTACTCGTGCCCGCCAGTTTGACACCAGCAGTTTCCAGAAGTCATCTGTGAAACGGCTCCTGGAAAAGCTTAAAGACCTCGGTCGGGCAGCCCTGCCCCCTGCGGATTTGGATAAGGTATGGTTATGGCTCAAGATAAGGGGGCCCCCGTTGTTTGGGAGAATCCCAATAGAGAACAACAGATTAGGAGGGAGGAAGAGTTGCCTAGAGAGATAAGAGCTGAAAAGGGTTAAAGGTCTCTAAAGAGGAAAAGGCAGTACCATGGCACTTACATTGCCCTCCCTTTGCTGCTTTGCTAGTACAATAACATACTGTTGAAGATGGAATCAGCTTACAGTACAGCCAAAGTGTGCCAACAAAATGGTTCCTGTCTACCCCTGGATCCTGGTGAGTATGGATGTGTGTGTTTTTTTTTCTTTTCTTTCTTTTTTTTTTTAGGCAATTGAGGTTAAGTGACTTGCCCAGGGTCACACAGCTAGTAAGTGTCAAGTGTTTGGTCTGAGGTCGGATTTGAACTCAGGTCCTCCTGACTTCAGGGTGGATGCTCTATCCACTGTGCCACCTAGCTTCCCCTGGATGTGTCTTTCTTAAGGAAACAGGGGTGGAGGAAGTGAAGAGGAACAGGTAAGGCTAGCTGTGGTGGAAATAGAGCCATGAGGGTTCTTCCCTTATTCTACTCATCAGGTCCTGAAGTTTGGTGTGGTGGTGGATTACTCTTGTCTTGTCCCCTAGTTTTGTATGGTGGAAAGTGTGCTGGGCTTGGATTGGAGTGCCATCTTTTATACTTGTGAGCTGGGCAAGTCACTTGAACCTAAGTCATCTGTAAAATGGGGATAATGATCCTTGCATCAAGTTGTTAAGAGGAAAGTGGTTTTTTTTGGGGGGGGGGGCTAGGCAATGGGGTTAAATAACTTGCTCAAGGTCAGACAGCTAGTAAATATCAAGTATCTGATGCCAGATTTGAACTCAGGTCCTCCTGACTCCCCCAAGAGGAAAGTGTTTTGCAAACTCTAAAGCACTCCTTTGAGATCTTTATCCCTACAGGCAGCTAGGTTGCACAGTGGATAGAGCACCGGATTCAGGAGGACCTGAGTTCAAATCCAACCTCAGACACATAACACTAGCTGTGTGACCTTGGGCAAGTCACTTAACCCCATTACCTAGCCAAAAAAAAAGATCTTCATCCCTGGTCCTTTTCCTGACTACATCACCAAGGCCAGAGTCTACCTTACCTGAACTTGATTCATCACCTTGCCTTGGATCCAAACCTTTTCTTCATTCCCACTCTCAGTATTCAGATATTCTAGGCCTATTGAGTTTCCTAATTAAGACTTCACTGGCTGTTCCTGCAGAGAGTATGTCTTGTTTATATTTGGCTCAGCCCATCTCTTCCCCCTTTCTTCCTTTCTTGCCCAAAAGGCTTTTCCCATCCACCTCTAATTGCAAATCCATTCAGTCCCTCTTCTTCCAAGAAGCTTCCATGGATGGTAGACTTGAGGAGACATTCCTCCCTGTTCAGTCCTTGTCCTTAGTGGCCTTTACTGCCCAGTATCTCCATCAGAATAATAGTGAATAGGAATGGAGGAAAGAGGAAACAAACACAGAAGACAAAAAGTCCTCTTCCTCCCCTCCTCTACCCTGGATGAGGCTAGGCATATGAGTGTATATGTTTGTGCATGGGAGAAGGTGTGAGTGTATACACAGGATAGAATATATGAAAGGAGGGTAACATCCAGAAATCATGAATCCATGATTCTGCTGTATTTGCCATTAATCATGCCCCATTTTAAGTGTTTCATCCTATCTGGGCTATCAAAAGGATGTGGAAAAACCTGGAGAAGGTCCAGAGAAGGAAGAGTAAGAGCAAAGGATGGAAACTGGGTCCTATGGGGAAAAGCTTATTGGCATAATGAGAATAGCTCACATCTCTGACCTATGTTTCAAAGTTTACAAAACATTTTGCTTATCGCAACCCTAAAAGCCATGTGGCATAAGTAGAAAGGAAGGAAGGAAACAAGCATTTGTTAAACATCTACTGTGTGCCAGGCACTGTGCTAAGTGCTTTACAAATATCTCATTTGATCCTCACAGAATCCTGGGAGGTAGGTATTATTATGATCACCATTCTACAATTGGGGAAACTGAGACAGAAGTGAAGTGATTTGCCCAGGGTATTGTCTTGATCAGAGTACCTAAGTCTTTCACACTTGATCATCCTTACAATATTGCTGTTACTATGTATGGTATTCCCCTGGTTATGCTCATTTCATTTTGCATCAGTTCATATAAGTCTTCCCAGGTTTTTTCTGAAACCATCCTGCTCATCATTTCTTATAGCAGAATATGCCACACAATTCCCCATTATTCAGCCAATTCCCCAATTGATGGGCATTCTCTCAGTTTTCCAATTCTTTAGCACCACAGAAAAGAGCTGCTATAAATATTTTTATACACATTCATTCTTTTCCCTTTTCTTTGTTCTCTTTGTCTATCCAATATATATTGTCTAGCCACCTACGTGGTATTATATCAGTTTTAGAGTTGAAAAACTAAGGCAGATGGTCACGTGGCTAGTGAGTGTCAGAGCTGGGAGAAAGGTACTATTATTATTACCCTATTTTACAGTTAAGAAAACTAAGGCAAACGGAAGTTAAGTGACTTGCTGAAGGAGACACACTTAGTAAATGTTAGAGGATGATTTTGAACTCAAGTCTTCCTAGCTCCAGGCCCACTGCTCTATCCATTACAACACCTACGACACCTAGCTGCACAAGTCATCCACTTGAGTTTGAGAGGTAAAGTTTGTAAGGGTAGGAGTAGGATCAGGGCCTTGTGGGAACATTTCAGATTTGGAGCCATTGGTGTGGGGAATGTGATTAGGGATCAACAAGGATAGAATAAAAGGATTGCCGAAGAGTTGGGGAGGGGAAAGGGGAAGCCAGATAAGATCATGCAGCATAAATTTCTAATGAGTGAAATCAGTGTGGTTTTGCAATTTCCAGTAACACTCAGCTCAGACAGTACCATCTTAGCTTCAGTTGTTACTTTAGGTTTTTCCAATGATCTTCACATCTATCATATTTGAATGTCCCAGTGCTAGGAGGTAGGTAACCTGGGCATTTTGGTAGATCCCCATTTTACAGATGAGGAAAATCTCATGGAGGTGAAATGTCTGACCTGAGATAATGCAGTGAATTAATGGAAGAGCCAGGGCTAAAATCCATTGTTCCATACTGCCTCTCCAATCCATTCCTATATGACCCCATTAAGGTCCATTCTAGCTCTGAGATTGTGGAGTGTGTGTGTGTGTGTGTGTGTGTGTGTGTGTGTGTGTGTGTGTGTGTGGTGTACAGTTGGGGACCTTCAATTTATATTAAATGCACTCAGATTTGACGGAGTTGATGGCCTCATCTCGGAACTATGACAACCTACTCTGGGCATGGAAGGGTTGGAGGGATAAGGCAGGACGCGCTGTCCTTCCCAACTTCCCGGAGTATGTGGAGCTTAGCAACAAGGCTGCCCAGCTCAATGGTGAGTATACCCCTATTCTCCTCATCCCTCCTGGTACCCTAGTCTGCAGACTGCCCTAGGAACCCACAGACCTCACAGTTTATCCTCTGAGGCCCTGACTTTGGGGGAGGAACACAGACTTGAGGACAGGTCCCATGAGTGAGAGGGGCTGGGGAGCCAATGCTACATGATCAGAGGAATCAGTAAGAGTTGGGTCTCATTCTCACCTGTGCCCCAGGCTATGCTGATTCTGGAGCCTACTGGAGAGCCTGGTATGAAACACCTTCCCTGGAGCAGGACCTGGAGAAAATCTACCTGGAACTGCAGCCCCTCTACCTGAACCTCCATGCCTATGTCCGTCGTGCCCTGTACCGTCACTATGGAGCAGACTACATCAACCTTCAAGGGCCCATTCCTGCTCATCTGTTAGGTGAGAAGGAGATGAAGGACTGAGGCCAAGGGATAGTGGCAGGGAGGGGGTGGATGAAAGCTGGATGGTAAAGGTGGACCTGGGAGATACAGGGTTAGGTCCAGGGAATAGGAAAGGGACCTGGGGCTAGGGATGAAGAACAGGCAGAATGGGACCAGAGAGATATAAGGAACCTTTGATGAGGGCACCAAGACAAGTGTTAGAATAGATGGTGGAGGAAAGTGTGAGTGCAGGTGGTAGGGAGGAGAGGGGCTGCCATAAGAGGGAAGTGTGGACTCTTTTGACCAGGAAACATTTCCATGGTTAGGAGAATTGGAAAGCTTGAGACTATAGGTTATGTTGCCAAGGCTGCTGTATCACTAGTGGCCTGACTCGCACTCAGGCCAGCCCTCCCCTTTTGAGTGTTACAGTGATGGCTTTAAGCACACAGGAGAGATGGAGGGAGAGGCAGGACACAATAACAATAACCCACACTTTTATGGCACTTTATGACTTATACAGGTGCTTTTCCCCATAGGCCTATGAGGTTAGGTCATGCCAGCATTATCATCTCATGTTATAGGTGAGAAAGCTGAGTCTCAGAGTGTTTAAGGAACCTGTCCCTGTCAAGGAAGGAAAGAAACCCAAGTTTTCTAGCTTCAAGGCCAAAAGTCTTTCCTACTCTGGTGGCACAGTGCATAGAGAACTGGGCTTGGAATCAGGAAGGCTCATTTTCACTAGTTCAAATCTGGCTTCAGATGTGATTAGCTGTGTCACCTTGTTTGCCTTGGTTTCCTCATCTCTAAAATGAACTGGAGAAGGAAATGACAAACCATCCCAGTATCTTTACCAAGAAAACCCCAAATGGGGTCATGAAGAGTCAGACACAACTGAAATGAATGAACAATATACTGCCATATAAGAAAAAGGAAAAAAAAAAATCCGACTTTGCAGACAGCTCTCACAGAATTCCCTGCTCAGTTTATATAAGCCTTTCAAATCTATAAGGATTTTTTAATCTAAAGCATAGACCCTTTAGGCAGTCTAATGAAGCCAATAAACCCCACCTAAAATGTTTTTAAAGGCATAAAATTTTATATGTACATATACACATATGTATATATACCCACATATATATGATTATAAAGAAAGCCAATTATATTGCAATACAGTTATCATAATACTTTTTTTAAAGGTTCATGGACCCCATGTTAAGAACCCAAACCTAGAATCATGTTTTATAGAATAAGATGTGTTAAGATATGTGTGTGTCTATGTAAGACACCTATGTCCACTAGAGTTGTTTAAATGAGTTTGAGTCCTGGCTATGACAGAATCATAGCTAGTAACTATGAGCTTGGCCAATACATTTAACCTTACGGAGCCTCAGTTTACTCATCTCTAAAATGGGATGATAATGCTCCCCAGGTTGGTAAACCCTAAAGCACAATAGATGGGGCAAGGAGGAGTAACTCCCTGAAAGCCCAAGTTCTTCCTTGCTTAGTCTGACTTGTCTTTTCCCATTAGTTACCAATCTTCTCTCTCACTTTATGTTCTTCAGCATCAGATCAGTCTGTCTCCTTTGTTCTAATTTGAATCCCAGAACCATCTCATCTCTCCTGAAGGGGCCCCACCCCTGTGTGCTCATAGCCACAGTTAGCTGCTTGCTAGTTGTGCACAGATGAGAAAACAAGTCACATGAACATAGGAGATTTAAGGCATAAGTAGATTCTGTTCTCAGGATGGTCAGAAGGTCCAGGGGACTCAGCCTTTATCCCTGGGACTGGGAAGAAAGCAACCCTGTACTTAGTATTATTAGTATTAACAATCATCAATATTTAATCATTCTTAATATTTTAATTATTATTAATGTCTCACACTTATGTAGTGATTTAAAGTTTACAAAGTACTTTCCTCATGAAAACACTGGGGGTAGGGTAACATAAATATTCCTATCAAATAAGGACACAGCTAATGAGTGTTGGAGATAGCACAAACTCCCCTGACTTGAACACTTTCTTTTCTCTTTCTCTCTTTTTCTTTTTAGAATTTGAGTTTTAATTGGTTCTACTTTTTTACTATTTATAGGGTTTTTTAAAATTCATGTCTAATTCTCTCTCTTTTTAGAATGTGAGTTTTTAATTGGTTTTACTTTTGCTATTTATAAGGTTCTACAATTATTATCAATACCATTTGTTTTTACTTTACCTTCATTTCTGAATATATCCCACAGCCCTCTTTTATCAAGAGCTATCCCCTGTAACAAAGATAAAAATGGGGGAAGAAAACCCCAACACTTCAACTATATCTGACAATATTCAATATTCCATATCCATTCTACCTCTGCAAAGAAGGAAGGGAGCCAACACTCCTTCTGAACTTATTCCAGGATGGTTCTCTCCTCTTGGGTATTAATAAATGTCTGTGTTTAACCTCTTTGTCTCTCTTTTCTTTTCCTCTGAACCTTCCTCCAGGCAATATGTGGGCTCAGAGCTGGTCCAACATCTATGAGTTGGTGGTGCCTTTCCCTTCTGCCCACCAGGTGGATGCCACTCCGGCTATGAAAAGCCAGGTCAGTGATCAGTCTGCCCTGCTCTCTGCTCCTTGCACAGCCCTTCCTCCCCCAATCTTGCGTCTTCTGACGTTCTTCCAGTCTTGATTCCATGATGCTCGGTGAGCAGGAGGAGAGGAGGGATCCAGTTCTCTGCTGCTTAAAGGGGTTCTTTCCCACACTGCACCCCTTTCACTACCCTGCACCCTAAACTTTGTCTCTTGGCCAGTGTGCATTTAGGGTTGGAGTTGGGACCTTGGGCAAATCACTTGCCTTCTCTGGGACTCAGTTAACTTATGAGGGGGTTGGACTTTGACAACTATTGAAGTACCTTCTGGTTCTCCAGCTATGATCCTATGATTCTTTGGTCTTTTGCCTTAAGGGCTGGACCCCACGGAGGATGTTTGAAGAGGCAGATAAATTCTTCCAGTCCCTGGGTCTGCTGCCCTTGACCCCTGAGTTCTGGAACAAGTCAATGCTGGAAAAGCCAAACGATGGGCGAGAAGTCGTGTGCCATGCTTCTGCCTGGGATTTCTACAATGGCAAAGACTTCAGGTGGGGCAGAAAGTGGTGATGTTCCTTCAGGTGCCTTTGGAGAAGGGGAAAGGAGCCTAGAGAAAGTGGTGATAGTCCCACTTCCCCCCCACCCCCAATCAAGAATAAGGAGAAAACCTGGCTGGTTAGTTCTGAAGGTTAGGACAATGTGAACTCAGCTCTTCTTGACTCTAGGCTTAGTGCTCCATCTACTGCAGTACCTAGCTGTCAAGGTTCTAATACTAATAATACTAAGTACAGGGTTGCTTTCTTTCCAGTCCCAGGGATGAAGGCTGAGTCCCCTGGACCTTCTGACCACCCTGAGAACAGAATCTACTTAGGCCTCACTCTGTGAAATCTCCTACGTTCATGTGACTTGTTATCTCATCTGTGCACAACTGATGGTTTGATCAACGTGTTAGGGAACACAACATTCATTAAATATCTACTGTGTGCCAGGAGCTGTGCTAAGTACTTTACAAAGATCTCATTTGATATTCACAATAACCCTGGGAGGTAGGTGCTGTTATGATTCTTATTTTATAGTTGAAGAAATGGAGAAAAGCAGTGTTGGTTAAGTGACTTGCCCAGGGCGCAGACAATAGATATCTGAGGCTAGTTTGGAACTCAGGTCTTCCTGGCTCTAGGCGCTTCTGACTCTACTGTGCCAATAGTTGGCACCACTCCATTCCAGGGCTGCAAACACCATTTCTAACTCTAGACCAAGGTCTAGGCCAGCATGCAGTCACAAATACATGCTACCCGTCATTAAAAAAAGTTTTTCACAAAAAGTGTGGCATCTGGAACAAAGAGCCAACCAATAATAGGTGAGAAGTACCATATATACATATGTGTGTATACATCCCACTTTGGGAGAGCAGGAAGAAAGACCCTGGTGACTGAACAGAAAATTTAAAGAAGGAAGGTTTATGGTTAGTCTCTTGAGCCCACTACTGCAAAGGCACAGGGACTGCAGCCTCAAAGAATCGCAGTAGGGTAGATCAGGGATGCTGCAATCTATTTAATATATGGGGTGTCAGAACTGGAAGGGACCTTAAATATTATTTATAGTACAGTCCTCTCATTTTGCTGAGGTCACAGAGGTAATAAGTAGCAAAACCAGTGTGATAAGACCAATATATACCAGGGTTCCCCCTCCACATGAGTTAGGCTAGTTTTTCCCCTAAAAATCAACAAAGCTACCCTTCCCCCCCAAACACAACATGATTGGCCTAGGGGGCCAAGGCTTTCTGGTTATCTAAGGGTGTAAAAAGGGCCCTGACAACTTAATGTCCTTAACTGACCAGGAAACCCTGTCAATGTAGAGTCTGCAAGGAAACTGTCAGCAGAAAAACTGCCTAATCCTTCCCCTACCTCCCCCTTACCAGTCCCCTCTCCCAGTCAATCAAATCCCAGGAATAGCTTTTTTAAGGAAAAACTAGTCTAACCCGTGTTGGGGATGGAGGAAGGGAGAACCTTGACAGCTAGGTACTGCAGTAGATAGAGCACTAAGCCTAGAGTCAAGAAGACCTGAGTTCACATGCAGCCTCAGCTAGCTGTATGGCCCTGGGCAAGTCACTTAACTTGTCATTTAATTTGCTTCCATGTCCTCTACTGCAAAATTGGTACCATCACCTATTTGCCAGGTTTATTGGGAGGATCAAATGAGATAATATTCATAAAGCACTTGGCATGTAATAGAAGCATAACAAATGCTTGTTTCCTTCCTATCACAACCAGGATTCAAACCCTTTACAAGTCTAATCCAGAACTTGCTTGTTTGTTTTGTTTTTAATTTCATCTCTTTCTGATGTTTGTGGCTCAATATTTTTCAGAGGGATAGAGCTGGGGCTCTTTGTGTACCCTTCGTTGAATCAGGAGAGAAGATAGAAAGATACTTAGCCTCCTTATGCCAAGTTATTTTATTCTGTCTCTCCTGAGGGTAATAACTAAGGAGAAATAGACCTTGTCACACTGAAACAAGAGGGATTCAAGGGAGAATTCCCAGAGATTAGGGAGATCTCAATTAGAGAATAATAGACAACCTTCTGACTTGGGTGGCTTAAAACAGGGGTGTCAAACATCAGCCCGCAAGTAGGGCCTCAACCAAATTGAAATGTAATTGAGAAATATTTAACAAAATAGATAAAAATATAATAGGACATAGATAATGTTAATAGGTAGTTTTCTAAGTCAGGATGCATGTGGTCAAGGGATTCTTATGTACAATTAAGTGATTCCATTTCTATGTGAGTTTAATTGCACTAACATAGAGGCAGTTAATTCACTCCAGTTCCACAAAAGCCTCTTATAATGCCTAGCGTGAGCACTGTGAAAGGAGACAAAGGAAAGATGTGACGCTGCTTACCCTTTCAGGGAATTCAGTCATGTTGGAGAGACATAGCTTATACAAATAATACAATTATGAAAAAATTGAAGAGTAATATCACATATAATATTGAGTTTCATCTGATACCAAGGTGTTTCTAGAGAGAGCAAACATAGTGAAAGTGGTTAGGGGATTAGCTAATCTCTTTAGATGGTTCCAACCCTAGAATTCTCCCTCTTGTACCTTTTAATTTTCTTCCCTTGCTTTCTAATCACATTGTGTTTCTGGTATAGCAGCAGAGAAGAGAAAATCCTTTCCGTGTACAATCCAACCAGCCAACTTTGTTTGTTTGTCTGTCTGTCCCTCTTCCCGACTCCCTTGCCTAGCAAGCTCTCATCCTCTTTTCTGCCCACCTCTATTCTGTCTCTTTTGCACACAGGATCAAACAGTGCACAACAGTGAACATGGAGGACCTCATCGTCATCCACCATGAGATGGGCCATGTGCAGTATTTCATGCAGTACAAAGATCAGCCTCTGACCTTCCGAGATGGTGCCAACCCAGGTTTCCATGAGGCCATCGGAGATGTGCTGGCACTCTCTGTCTCCACCCCCAAGCACTTATACAGTATTGGTCTGCTGGATAATGAGGGCGAGGGCTATGGTAAGCTAGGGGGTGGGTATTCAGGAGTGGAATAAAAAGTCAAAGATGGGCAGCAGAAGCTTAGGGAGAGACTTGGGGGCCAGGGTACAGGGGTGGGAGCAAATATCGGGTGAACATAGGGAGCAGAATTGGGACAGGGATTAAGCAAGATCAGAAGCTGCCTATCCAATAAGGAGTGAAGGAAGATGCTTTTTAATGTCGCCTTTTAGAAATGTACATTTTTAGTACCAGAAAATCCCACTCTTCACAAATATAGGAATGATGTGTAAGTCAATCCACATGCATTACAGCAGAAGCTCAAAGCCTTCAGGAAGTGGTGACACAATTTCCAAATCTTGCCCATAGAGCACAGATTGCTGGTTCCAGTTCTGCTGGGAAGAAGGCCATTGAGAATAAATTGGAAAAACCAGAAACAGACGGGGAGAGGAGTTCCTGAACTGATTACCTCTATTCTCTTTACCAGAGAGTGAGATCAACTATTTGATGAGTGTTGCCCTGGACAAGATTGCCTTCATCCCTTTTGGTTACCTCATTGACCAGTGGCGCTGGCGGGTGTTCGATGGGAGCATCAATAAGAAAGATTACAACCAGGAGTGGTGGAGCCTCAGGTCAGCATGAGCAAGGCTCTGTTGGTACTGATGGGTGTAGGAAGTATATGAGAGGAGGTCATGGTTCAGGGACAGAACCCCTGGGTTCAGGTACCCCTGGAGGCTGGGACCTGGGCAGCCTTGTGTCGGATTCCTGACCCAACCTGAAGGACGGGGGCAGTCCCAGGTGGTAGATGTGGGATCTCAGAAGCACGAGAGATCTACCTCTAAGTCAATTTTCACTATATATACATAAGCACACACACACTCTCTTCTAAACTCACATACTTTATTTACCAAGACAACAGGATTAAACCCACTCCTGCCCTCCCTACAACTCTTTTTTTTCCTTTTCACAGGCTAAAGTACCAGGGTCTGTGTCCACCAGTACCCAGAACACAAGAAGACTTTGACCCAGGTGCCAAGTTCCATATACCTGCAAATGTGCCCTATCTCAGGTAAAGAAAGGATCAGGGGCCATCTGGGAAAAGAGGGGAACTATTAAGAGGCGTTGATGGGGAGGAGCTAATGTAAATGAGTATGTAATAAAAAGAGATGACAGTGAGGACAGCTAGGTGGTACAATGGATAGAGCACTGACCCTGGAGTCAGGAGGACCTGAATTCAAATGTGGCCTCAGACACTTGAGGAGAGAGAGAGAGACAGAGAGACAGAGAGACAGAGAGTTGATAGTGTGATAGTGCTCAAACAATCAGCAATCTACCCTCGAGGAACTTCTTTTCTACTAGGGGGATACAATACGTTTTGGAAAGCAACCACCAAGAAAGATAGGTTTGGTCTAGGCCAGAGGTTCTTAACCTTTTCTGTATCATGGATCCCTTTGGCAGTCTGAGAAAGCCTATGGGCTCCTTATCAGAAGGTTTTAAAATAAAAAAGCTAAAATACTTAGGATTACAAAGGAAGCCTGTGGACCTCCTTATCAGAATGTTATAAAATACAGGAACTAAAATACTTAGGATTACAAAGGAGACCAATTATGTTGAATCAGTTATCAAAATACTGAAAAAACAAGTTTATAGGGTCCTCCATTCCACCCCTTTAGGACATTTGGCCTAAGAAGTCACCGTGGAGTCAAGGAGCAATCAATTGTAGTAGCAATGGTAATATTGGTTGGATTATTGTTCTCATTTTCTCCTGGTCTCTGGTCTCCTGCTGAGGCTTCCAGTGCTCTGAAGAGTATAGCCAGACCCCATATCCCAGCACAGTGGGCTAGGGGGGTGCTATATTTGTCCCCCTGCTTTGGTTAAGTCCCTGATTATTGGAGTTTGTGCTGTCCAGAAACTACCCTGGTCAGAGGATTGGCAGATTTTAGGTCCAGTTTCTGGAGCTGGAACTGGTTTCCTTGGCATGGCTCCTTTCCCCACCTCTGCCAACTGCCAGCCCTTCACTAGACATCCCTGGCTGTCATCCCTAATGAGACCCCTCTCCCCACCTCTGCAGGTTTCTGGCTGTCTTTTCTTTTTGTGCAGTTCTGGACTGGATAAAGGGGTTTACTTCTATTTTAGTTTTGCTTTATTTTCAGTTTCCTTTATCATTGGATTTTATAGAGTCCTTTTTAGATATTTTCTGGCTGAATGCTGAGACTTCTTTACATTCACATCTTCATCTTAACTGAAAGCCTTTGGTTATAAGCTTGTGTTTTCTTCTATTAAATGTGTAAGGGGGAGGGGATTTGCTTTCCCCCCCCTAGCTCAGTAGATATAACAATTCATGAAGTGCATGGAATTCATATGTTAAAAAGGTGCAGAGTGCTGGTAAATCCTTTTATGAGGTGTGAATAGTTCCCTTGAGTGAATTAAAGGGAACAACCCCTTTGAGCAAACAAATTAATCATGCATCCTTGGAGACTTAAAATAGCTAAGAGCTGGGGAGTTAATAGAAGTGAAGGCTCAGGAGTACTTGGTGGAGAAGACTCCTGAAAGAAATTGGTGGGGGGGAGGAATTTCTCTCTTCTCCCCCTCCCCCATTAGCCGTGATATCCAGCAACACAGGAAGAGACGCCAGATCTGGCAGTTCTAGACTTCTTTTGGCTTGAGAGAATTCAAGGTACATTAGGAAGCAGATGCACATTCCAGACAGAGATGGTTACAGAAAGGGTGTTACTCAAGGGAGGAAGCAGCTTCAGAAACTGAGACCTCTGGAAGCAAAGAAGAGAGCCAGCTATGGAGATGAGCAGACCCTGAAAATTTGGCTAAGGAACCTCTATCGCAGAGGTGCTCCAAGCGATAGGAGCTGTATGATGATTCTGTGAAGAAAGGCCTCACAGGCCTCGCAGTAGCAGGAGTTGTGAGTTGCCATTGCCACCCATAAACCCTAGGCAAGCACTGCCTCACTACCATTCGTTGTACTCTAAATTTGATCCCAGTCTTGCCGTGATTGATGTGTGTCTATGAAGGAGAGCATGCCCTAGGTTTGTGAAGATGATATTTTGTAGATATTTTTTTCACTGTGCCATTTAGTAAACACTTTTGCTTAGAGCTAATTATATCTACTGGCTAACTGTTAATGAGAGGTACTTCAGTGGAGGCTTGTGAACTTTATAGTGTAGGAGCTGGTACTCACAGTGTACTAATAAATTCTCAAGGTAGTAAGTACCCTCTTGGGAATTATCCTAGAGGAGAGGCTATGAATATCTCTCCATATGTGTATATGTATATATGTATATACACATTTATATACATGTATATTATACGTACATATATACTATTACATATGCATATATGCTCTCCTCTCCCCTTTTAAGACTTAGTCCCTGCAGTTTATTTTAATTACACTAAACTGCTCCTGGTCTCTTCTCTCAGCTTCCTTCCCTTCTATTCTGCTTTTCAGAATTTCAAATTCTAATTTTTCCTTTGACTTCTTATAAACATGGAATAATCTTGTGCTATTTTGATCAATTCTCCTTGGAATGTGAAAGGTTTTTTGCCTTGCTACTTCCAAAATGTGTTTTTAATGTTCATCATTCTAGATCCTGATTAAAATATTTCTTGATGAATCAAACTTTAAAGTTCAGTTGGTCTTCTGTGGATTCTCTTGAGCTATACTTTGCTGTTGGCTTACAATATTTCTGGGCAATTTTTCTGTATGGTTTCTTGAAGTACTTAGGTCAGTTTTTTTCAAAGAACCTTTCTGAAAATCCTATAGTTCTTATATTATCTCTTCACACCCTATTTTCAAGTATTTTTGTAGAGTTATGTGTTAATCCAGTTCTATTATTTGTTTCATTGCTGTTATTTTGTTCCGTTCATTTTTCTTTTGCTTCTGAATTTTTCCATTCCAATTCTGTTACTCTCTTTTTCAGAGAACCTGCCATTATATGGCATATCTGTCTTGTGTTCTAAATTCTATAGGCTCTGGTTACACTTGATGTGGCTTTCTTAAGAGCTCTAATTTCTACTGTTATTTCTTTGAGATTTTTATTTAATTCTTTGTACTGTTCTTCTGAAATATTCTGGAAGTTCTTGGAGTTGCTTCATGGTGATTTCAGGGAACCTGTAAGAGTTTTGTATAATATTATCATTTTCTTGAGGGGACTGGATTTGTCCTTTGTTGCAAAGTGCTTGTTCACTGAAGTTACTATTTTCTTCAAACGTTTGTTGACTTAACCTCTCCATTTATGTTTTGTCTATCTTTCTAAATCACTCAGCTGGTTATTCTATGGTGTTATTGCTGTAAACGGGCTTATTACCACCAGTCTTTTCCCTTCTGTAGGCCCAGTATTGCTGTATCCCTATCCTAGTACTTGATGTCTGTTCCCTGTTCTCTCAGATTACTAATTTTTGAATGAAATCTGTGGCCCTCACGGGGTGACAATGACCATTTGGAATGCTACTGCAAGGAGACTCTGAGGGGCCACTCTACTCTGATTGGGTCTATTCTTCCTCTCTGAGACTTTGTTCAGTGTCTACGATGACCCCAAGAGGCTAGCCGAGAGAGCTATTTGGGGGACAGGTAGGTGGCACAGTGGATAGAGCACCGACCCTGGAGTCAGGAGGACCTGAGTTCAAATCCAGCCTCAGACCAAACACTTGACACTTACTAGCTGTGTGACCCTGGGCAAGTCACTTAACCCCAATTGCCTAAAAATTTAAAAAAAAATTTAAAAAAGAGAGAGAGAGCTATTTAGGATATTGAGGAGTGGAATATGTACAACTTGGCTTTTGTTTGCTTTTTGTGTGTTTTTAAAGTGTATACAAAACTGAGTATGCTGGTTCTTAAAGCCATTGCACTTGTCTGTTCCCCTCTAAATCTCTGATCTCTTAAATGAATTTCTTAAAAAAAAAAACAAACCTACAACTTTATTGACTTTTTTCCTTCTTTCTTTTGCATTGCTATGACTCCTCTTTTCCTTACCCCCAATTCTCCCTTCTCAAAAACAAAATACAGAAAAAGAAACAAATCCTAGAATAAGTCTACATTATCATGAAAAACAGACCCACAAATTGTCTGTGTATACCTCTAGTCCTTTACCTCTCTGTTCAGAAAACATGCTTCATCCTTTGTCCTCTGTAATTATGATTATTGATTGCATTGATCAGAGTTCTTAACTTTTTCAATGTATTTTTCTTCTACAGTATTTTTACATGGTCGTTGTACAAATTCTTCTCCTGTTTCTGCTCACTTCCCCTAGCATCAGTTCATATAAATCTTACAAGATTTCTGTGAATCTGTTCCTTTCACCAGTTATTAATGCACAATAATATTTCCCTACATTCATACAATTTGTTCAGCTATTTCCTAATCGATAAGTATCTCTTTAATTTCCAATTCTTTGCTACCACAAAAAAGTGCTATCAGGAATGTTTTCACACATCTGGATCTTTGTCCTCTTTTTTTGATCTCTTTGGTATATATGTCTGGCTGTGCTATTTTTGGGTAGAAGGGTAGGCAGACTTTAATAACTTTTGACATCGTTCCATATTGTTTTCCAGAACGGTTATACTAATTCGTAGGTTATACATTAATGTGATCTTCTATATCTAGGTCATAGCCACTTGGAGCTTAATGCTACATATGGTACAAGATGTTGGCCTAAACCTAATTTCTGCCTGAATGCTTTTCCCAGCAGTTTTTGTGGAATAGTTTGTCCTTACCATAGTAGTCACTATGTTACTATATTCATTTGATTTTAAATCTATGTTCCTAATTTGTCCAAATGAACAAATTTTCTGGGTTTTTTTAGCCAGTGCCAAATAATTTTAATCATTATTGCTTTGTAATATTATTTGAGATGTGGTATTGCTAGGCTCCGTCTTTCCAACATTTTTTTCATTATTTCCCTTGAGATTCTTGATCTTTTATTACTGCCGATGCAGTCTTACTTTTCTCTAGCTCTATGAAGTAATCCTTTGGTAGTTTGATTCATATGACACTGAATAAGTAAATTAGTTTAACTAACTTAATTTATATATCAATAAAAGTCATAATAAAATTACTAA